CCAACCGACCGACCGACCGACCTACCGCTACTGCTACTACCTACTGCTACTGCGACTGCGACTGCCCCCATTGCTACTGCTTCTGCTGCTGCTGCTGCTGCTGCTACTGCTAGTGCTGCTACTGCCTGTCTTCACAGCCTGGGCTGTAAGTGTCAACAAGCAGGGCGAGAAATAGAAGCCACTACCCCCACCTCCTCTGCAAGAAGTAAGCATGACATGTGCGAAATGCCCGCTGTAAGTTTCCAGCCAGTCACGGTTGTTCAAGGTCACGCGTAGTGTTGCATACCCCAGTGCCTGACAAGAGGAAGAGGCGCGCTGCAGCCACAACTACTGAGTGCAAGTATTCTTGACATCCATCGACTTCCCTGAAGTTGCTCTGACCATGTCGCAACATAGACTACTCCACGGCAATGGGCTCACCGAATATCCAACTCGGCATAGGAATCCAAAATCATAAATCCGAATCCCAACCCCGAAGTCAAGCCATTGGAGAAGTCAGCCTTGCTGGACCTTACTGCCAGCATGTTCGGAACCTGCCGTGGGCTTGTGAGAGGTTCGGGGCCTATGGTTGTGGCTTCAGGTTTGCACTACAGGGATTCTCGAAACATGCGCAACGCAGCGTCGCAGGACTTGAAAAGCACGGCACACAAACATGTCATGGCTGTTGCATTTCCAGCAAATATGCCTGTGTGACGTTGCACCAGTACACAGCAACAGAGCATGCAGCTCCGACGGGATTCCATCTGACAGCCCTGCCTCGCACATGATCTGTGTGGAAGAAACGAAGACCACGGAAGGAGAGCCTCATACATCTGATGCAGCCACGCCCAGAATCGAAAAAAGATCTCAGCGTTGGCTCCGGGCCGATCCGTTCGAAGGAGCAATTGAGACCAGTGGAGTTCAGGAAGCCGTAGCCAAAGACCTTAGTACAACGTAGACTACTGTAGACACGCTCAGAAAGCTGATCACCTTCAGGACCAGAATAACTTGACAATAACAGCATCCCTATCTTCCTTGTCCAATATTGCCAAGGTGGGGGAACTGTGACACAGACTGAGACGAAGCCACCACCATAGGTCATTCCGACCTGCGCTGCCACAAGCAAGCTCTGACGAGAGCATGCAGATGAAAGTGTAGGAGGCTTCATTGTCTGAGCCTGCAAAGGGTAGGCTACGAAAAGTCCAGCAGGGGCTGTTGCACATGCTTCAAGATACCATCGTTTCTTGCCAGCGTGGCCGAGACCAGTCTCAGCCCGAAAGGGCTACAACCCCTTTCCCCGTTTTATTAAACACCCCCCTAAGAATCAACACACAGGGGGGCGAATCCTCCCGAAATCATCCCTGCCCTTTAAAACCTGATCTGAAATACGGGGGAAGGTTTCGAGGCTCCAAATGCTCTTAGAGCACAGTAAGAGCGAGAGCTGGAGCAATAACAGGAGTTAGAACAAGAGCAGGAGCAAAAGCGGGAGCAGCAGCAAAAGCAAAGCAAAAACAAGAGCGGGAGGAAAAGCAGGAGCAAAGGCGGGAGCAACCGCAAGAGCAGGAGCCGGCGCAAGAGACAGGAGCAAAAGCCAGGGCGCGGGAGCAGAAGCCAGAAGGAGCAAGAGCACGACCTCTAACAGTGGCAGTAGAGATAAAAATACCCCCTAATAATGGAAACACTTTCCGAGTTTGTCTTGAAGGGGGGGGGGGGCGGGAAGAGATTAGGCTAAAGGGATTACACAAGGACAACGCTGGGGATCTTTTCGCCGCTGTGGATGTATGCGACAGTGCTGTAGCTCCGGGCCGACATGCGTATAAGTACAGTTTGGAGGTGTCAAGAAACTTACTGTACAGTCTGGGAAGAAAAAGACATTCACAAGCCAGGAACCCGAATCCAACATAGGCACCGGATCGCAGTTCCCATGTGATTTCCCTTGCCCTTCTGTTTCATCCCCCTTAAGCAACACCCGCAATCCTTAAACCTCAACATCCCGCTTTTCTGAGCGCTGAATCACTCACAGGCCGGGGCGCCCCTTCAGGGCAGGCCCTACTTGAGCGACGCAGGAACCCCTGCTTGAAAGAGCCATCATGGGCCGTGAGTTGAAAACCGCCACTCTTGAAGAAACTCAGAAGTGACTCTCACGGCTCACGGCATGAAGAAGGCAAAGACTGGGAAGTCCAACTTATCGAGCACGCTGCGCTCCCAGCGGCAGCCTTGCCCCAGAGGCAGCTTTGTCCTCTCGTGGATGGGTGCCTTCCTTGCAAACTTAGAGCCATCAGAAATGGTAATATCGCCTTCGCCCCAACCAGACGGGAGACCATCAGGACAGTTCTTGAAGCGTTCCCTTGGGTGCGGTTAGCATCGAAGGTGCAAATCGCGAAGATAGACACGTTAGGGGGGACCTCTAAGATATACATAAGTCTCAAATAACAACAAATATAAATATATTTATACATATATATATGTCTTATCATTGCTCGGTGTTATCAGGATCTGCAAGGCACTACTGTACAAAGCCTTTGGTACAAACACCTCGTTTCCCGGCAAAATCCTCCAAAGCTTCTCTTAGACACCATACACACTACGACAATTAAATAAGAATAATAAGAACCACAATGGCGATAAGAAAATATCAACAAGTGTATTAAGTTATATACACTGTGACTTCTATAAAATTCCAAACAGTTGTTATAAGACCTGGAGTTTGAGACAAAGGACGCTACAACACAACACAATAGGAACCTTAGAGAACCCACATATCCCCAGGTCATCCTCAAACGGGGACCCCTTGATCCCTAGGCCCCTAGGGCCTACATCCTCCCTGGGTTTCCTGTTCCCCGCCCTTTTCGGGAAAGCAGAGGAGGAGCAGGCCTTTTCGTACTCGCCCTACAGCTCCAATTACGTCTAAATTCCCCAAAGGAACCCCAACCCTAAACCGCAGCGAAGGAACTGTTGTAACCCGAATTTGTCTGCCTGCGCATCGCTGAGCTCCGAGGAGCCAGCACTATATCTTGACACCCACTCCTCAGTGCGTGCAGCTCAGAAACCTCAAACAGGATAAGGCTTTGAGATTAGGGTTTCGGTTGCAGGGTCTAGGATTTAGAGTTACTGGGGTTTGGGGTTTGGAGATTTCAGGAAACGTAGCGTCAGTACCACTACCTGGCAGTTTCAGGCATCTCTTCTTCTTCTGCTGATCCACAAGCCATACAAGAAACATTGAATGCCTATACACAATGGCATTTCCACGTTGGCATTCCAACTCAACAGACCCGCGCAACTTAGATATTTCTATGCGGCACAACTTCGGCGCCGAGAGTCCGGAGTAAAAATGTTAGAGACAGCGCAGCAAATCACAGCGCCCTGGGCATGCTGGCGCTTCACTTCCCGAAGCCAATGGCAGCACCAGCCTTGCTCAAGTGATGCCACATGATGCCACCCTACTGTAATCTGGGTTTATCGAATGATTGGGTGCGGAAATCGGAATGCAGCAGTGAAAACAACTGTCACGGCTGGCTGCTGGACAAGTGGCACTTGTATTTGCCGCCTTCTGTTGGAGCAAACTTTGTGCTTCGCGACTCCACCACCGAATTCCACATGTGGTGTCGACATCCTGCACCTGCGTAGTGTTACTGTTGAAGCAGGAAATGCCGGGTAGCATCCGATTGCATACCTTTACCAAATCTGGGTTATATACATATACGGGTTGTATAAAGATCCCAAGACAAAGACCTCACCTTGAGCCATTACCGGGAATCCTAGAGACTCGATGTCTAAACCCTAAGAACTGCAGTAACCAAAAAACCCAAACCCTAAACCCCAAAAGCCCTACAGATCCCTCAATGCTGAAACCCTTATCCCTCGGGATCCTAGAAGCCCCACCTGGCATGGGAACCTCGTCGCGACCGCACTCGTCACTGGGATGCAACCAGTTCCCATCGTCGTTGGCAAATCCGAAGACGGGCTCGTCTCCAAACCAAACGGTGGCCGCACCTGAATGACGGGGTTTGGAGGTTTGGGCATAGGAGTTCATAGTTTCATAGAAAGGAGAGCATTTAGGGCTTGCGGGGAAAATGTGTACCAGTAGGGTTCAATTGATGCTGGTCTTGTTCCATCATCTTTTCCATGTCGGTCTCCCTTATCGTAGCTACTGCACACAGAATGGAGGCTGCACTGGCAATCTGAATTATCTTTTCGATAATAATGACACTTTTTTGCAGAAGTGCGTTCACTGGCTCTGTTGTCAGCTTCCAAATCAAGCGTTTGCTGCCGACAAGGGTTTAGGGGTTCAGGGGTACTTGTAGGGTGTAGGGTTTAGGGTATTTTTCGGTATAGCTGACCAAGTTAAAGAATGAAACGGACAAGACCATGGAAAATCAAACGTAAACTGCCAGTAGATGATACGACGATTTGAGTAGTGATTTGGAGGTTTCTCAATATGAGGGTTGCTGTAGTAAGGGCCTTGGGCATATACTCTATGGGCCCCAGCGATGTATAGGGAGCATATCTGAGAGGACCCTGGACGGAAGACAGACATTCTCGGTCATTGGGGTATGGGCTGGTTCATGCGCGAAAAACTGGGAAGTTCGAGACGGCTCAAGCACTTGTTGAGAACAAATGCAGCCGGGTCACCACCCCGGCCTTCCGCCCTCAGCCTCTCCATCACTTGCTTGTAGGCATGTCCTGCAGCCAAGCAGAATCCATTCTTCAGCAATGATACGGATATACAGATACATTTTTGTTTTGTGTGTGTGTGTGCATTTACAGAAGGGAACCCATACGAATAGAGGTAGTTCCAAAGGAAATCTCAGAGCATAGGAAGAGAACAGCGAAACTACCTTTTCCCTTCATGTTGGTACAGGACATGGAATCGAATTACTTAGCCTCCAGGTACCGAAGCGCCAGTGGCCACAAAGGCGTGGCGCATGCGCTGGAAGCAGGTCAGGCTGTTGTACCATGTGAAGACCAAGCCGCTGCCGGCAGCCTTAGCGATGGCTGCATTTTCCTGGATAAACTTCGGCGACCAGGTGAGGAGCCACGAAGCTTTGGTGGCCTTGACCAAGTCCAGCATGAATGGAGGGTTGAATAAAACCTTTTTGGAGGCGACCCGGGCAGCAAAGCCATTCTCGCGCACGGCAGCAAGCACAATGTCCATTTCCATCTTCAGCTCCTCTGTCGCATACTGCAAGGCCAGACCATCGTTCTGCACAGCTGCCAGGACCACTTCTCGGTCGCTCTTGAAGTCATCGGAAGCATGTTTCAAGGCAAAGCCATTCTGGCGCAAGGCCGCTAGGACCACCCCTCTGTCGCGCTTTAAATCATCGGCCGCAAACTCCAAGGCAGTTCCGCACTTCTGCACTGCCGCCAGCACCACCTCTTTGTCTCGCTTCAGCTCCTCTGCGGCATGCTCTAAGGCAATGCCGCTCTTCTGCACAGCTCCAAGCACGAGCTTTTTGTCAAGTTTCAGCTCCTGTGCCACATATTCCAAGCCCAGGCCGCTCTTCCGCATAGCTGCGGCCACCACCTCTCTGTCGCCCCGCAGTCTCTGGCATGCATACTTCAAGGCGAAGTAACTGGCCTGGACAGCTTCTAGCACAAACAGCTTGTCTGCCTTCAGCTCTTGGGCAGCATGTTCCAAGGCAAAGCCGTTCGTCTGCACAGCTGCCAAAACCACCTGCTTATCGACTTTCAACTCTTGCGCCACATGTCCAAGGGCGCCGCCGTCGATGTTCTTCTGCACAGCTGTCAGAACAAACCCTTTGTCAGTCTTCAGCTCCTGTGTAGCATGCAGCATGGCCTGGCCATTCTGCTGCACAGCTGCCAAAACCACCTCTCTGTCACCCTGCAGCTTCGCCGCTGCATGCTCCAGTGCAAGGCCACTCTTCTGAACCGCTTCCAACACAAACCCCTTGTCAGTCTTCAGCCCCTGCGCCGCATGCAACAGGGCAGGGCCATTGGTCTGCACAGCTGCCAGGACAACTTCTCTGTCGCTCTTCAACTCATCGGCAGCATGCTCCAATGCGCGGCCGCTCTGTTTTACTGCTGCGCAAACCACTTCTTTGTCCAGCTTCAACTCCTTTGCAGCATGTTCTAGCACGCCGCCGTTCTTTTGCACAGCTGCCAGCACCATGTCCTTGTCCTCCCTCCGCTCCTTTGTCGCAAACTTCAAGGCCAACCCATGGTTCTGCACAGCCGCCAGGACCACGTCTCTGTCGCTCTTCAAATCCTCGGCAGCATGCTGCAAGGCGAGGCCGCTCTGCCGCACCGCTGCCAAAACCACCTCTTTATCCTCCTTCAACTCCTTGGCCAAATATTCGAGGGCGCTGCCCTTGATCTGCACAGCTGCTAATGCTTTTTGCCGCTTCGATTCCTCGGTAGCATGACATGCTGGAGTTTTACTTTTCGCCCAACAGTATCACCCGCTGCAGACACACCGTCCGTAGCTAAGAGTAAGCACTTGCAATTCTGATTTTTAAGTCCGTGATGATATTTCCTGTGAAATGCCTTTCGCACGCATGTGTGGAACTTCACGGAAACTTGCGCCCCAACGGAGAGGGTGGGCGAAAGCTCACAAACCGGGGGCAAGCTGCGCGGGGGCGGAAGAGGACGGAGATGGGCGATATTCCTTTTTCACTTGCCACTACACGGTAACCTCTCCCTCCCCCCCGAACACCAGGCATCATAAGCATCATTGGGGTCCCGTTTCTCCAAAAAGGCGTCTCCCCTGGAGTCCCGCGGGCAGCCCTCCCTCCCGACGACCCCGAGCTGATCAGCAAAGCTGGGAGTCAAACGAAAGCTCTTGCCTCCACTCCACGGAGGGAGCTTTCGTAGCAATATACAATTGTATCATACACAATATGCAATATAAGATATGTAGTATGTACGATACAATACACACTATATTACTCCATATATATATATATATATTAATATGTACATATATACTATTAGTTTATGTGGGTATGTATATGTTATATGTATGTGAGTATGCAAGTATGTAAGTATGTAAGTATGCACGTATGTCTCTGTATCAAAAATGCAGAGGCAACCTAGAAACTAGTGCAGCTTTGAGGCCGTAGTCTCCAGCGCAGTATCTGGTAACATCTAGCTCATCTGATGACGACTTACCATCTGCCATGGCGCAAACTCGCTTCCATTACGATGGGATCTTTTCGTCAGAAAACACACAGGAGAATCCCGACGCGAAAGACTCTGATGCGAGCTCAGAAGCTCCATGCACAGTAAAAATGGGCGAGAAGACAATGCGAAGACACGGAGAAACTATTGACGAATAGTTGATGGTCTTAGTCTGTGCACACTGGATGCGAGGCTCATGTCAACTTCTTCACATGCATACAGCAGGAGAAGACATAGCCACTCTGACTGTCATCACGCTTGCTCATTCATGGACTAGACCATGCTCTGGTCGTTAATGAAGCTCCGTTGCAATTGAAGAGGCTGCAGATGCATTAAACGTCAGAGCGGAATTCTCTAGCAACAGCCAATCAACGTCTCCTCATTGAAGCCCCCATGCCCCAAGGACTACCTGCATCTCGCCCATGCCCATACAAGTCTTCAAGTAGCTTTTTACCTTACTGGGAAAGACTTCTCGCAGATTCTAGCAATTCGCCGATATGTTCTGCTGACGAGTTCAGGGTCAGAGCACTCTACATGGCCGGCTATAGAAAGGGTTCTGGTGCTGTTTGTTGACGGTGTTACACCATAATTCGCATGGTGTCTTCGTGCACAACAGATCTCCCTAGTACCATCCGCAAGGCAACCCTAGCCTGTTGCAAACAAGACCGAGTGAAAGGCTTCGGAATCACCCAACATCCCACAAAGATCCAACTCTCACGCTTGCGTGGCTCTGGGATGATGCTGCCTCGGGGTCGACATTTCGGAGCCTCACAGGGCTATGCAAGGCAGGCACTTTGCTCAGATCGACTCCGCCCTCTATAGACTGGATCGGACCATACAGCTGTTGGCCATACAGGGCTCTAAACCACTCCGCCGTGAACGATACCGTCTGCCTGAGAGTCTCACAAAAAAGCGGTTGAGTTCCGAACAGGATACTCTCATGGAAAGTAAAGTAGGCCATGCTCTTTGGCACGTCGAAGGCCTCAACTTCGCAGAAGAGGGCTGCCTCGTGGACGTCGCTTGGTGGCTACAAAAACTCCACTGAGAGACTGGCGTCTTCATCCTGATCCCACTCGAGAATGCCTGTGGGCCAGGCTGCTCGTCCCAAGAGACAAGCCCCAAACCCGAAGCCCTGAACAAACACAACGGAAGCCTTAGAAGCCAGACTGGCGCCTTCCGGCGCATAGTTTTGCCCGTTGTTTGAGATGTACAGCGGCCTTGGAGTGGGAAATTTCGATCGATATAATCTTTACTAGTCGCGGAGTCAGCAATACCAGAGGTTACTAGTGACTATAGTACTTAGCATTGGCATCCGGATTGGTTTGCACTGGAAAAAGCGGATTCGGTGGCACGATGAGCTATTGTCGCCGCCAATCTCTGATGGCTTGCCCGTCATCGTGTGTCACTTTTCTCTCGCACGATGTCTGAGGTGCCAGCACCCGGGTCATGTCCGTATGAACCGACAGCTTTGGCAGCTCCACAACCGCCTCAGCCGTGAAAGGATCGAAGAGGTCGCTGAAAGGGCTTGGACTTAGGGGTCAGCCTGAAACCTGGCAATGCTTCGTGCTCATGATTAGAATCCCAGGGATGGTGAGTTGGTCTGACTTACTTGGGTGCAGTAGCTTGCCACGAAGTGGGGAAACCCAAAAGAGTCCAGAATTTGGGACGAGCCCCACAAGCTTCTGCTAATAATGTGCAATAAATAACCCTGGACTCTCAACCATTAATGCCACATAGACTGCCGAACCCAGCACACCCTGATCTTGATTGCAACACCACCCCCTTCTGCCGGGCACCTCTGTATCGGTTGATGCCAAAGCCGTTTGAACCAGATTCTGGCCGTCCGCTTGGATGGACACCTCGGCACATCAGGGCTTTACCGGTTTGCGCAGTTCGCATTTCACCCCAAGCCCTCAACCCTCAACCCTGCACCCCGAAACCGCTTTATTTTTCAGAGAATAGGGAATTTAGGAGCTCACATGGTGACGTCGCACTGTGGGCCCCGGGCACCGCCGAAGCGCACCGTCAGGTAGTTGGTGCTGATGAACCCCTCGCCTCGAGCAAGCAAGGATGCAGGGAGCTGAGAGTTCGGGTTTAGGGGGCCCATACTAGCACCCTTGCAAGCGATGGATATTAGATTAGACTTGTGACTGAAATCATAGAGGAGCTCTTTTGCACAGCTTCCTTCATGGAGCCCAGCCCCGCAAGCACCCTTCCACCCTGAAGGCTCCAGGGCACGTGAATCTCCAACTTGAGAAACTTATAAACTGCCAAACCCTGATGACCTGTGACTGTTTAAAAATCAGACTAGCCCTCTAAGCCGTAAGACCCTAACCCACAATCCCTCAGCTCCCAAGTTCGACGAAAGTCCCCGCCTATCAGCCGGATACTCAAACTCCGGTGACTCGGGCCAAGTGGTGGGTCCACTTGCAGAATCCTCCCGTAGATGTCTGCGCTTTGTGTGCGTGCGTGCGTGCGTGCGTGCGTGCGTGAGTGAGTGAGTGAGTGAGCGAGTCAAGTGAATGGTTAGTGAGTGTGAGTGTGTGTGTGTGTGACTGAGTGTGTGTGCGAGGAGAGAGAGTGTGTGTGAGTGCGTGTGAGAGCGAGAGAGCGCGAGAGAGAGAGAGAGAGACAGAGAGTTATATAGTGTCTTTGCGCGTGCAGGATTTATTCCCGGTACATAGGGGTTTCGGAGTCAGTGTTCAACTAGCTTGCTGTTGGGCTCGCAGCATGGCGTTTACGGCATGCAATAGGCTGGCGTGTAAAGAGAGAACAGGAATCAACAAGAACAGCACTACAGAAATAGCTGTTATCCATTGGAGAAGCCGGAAGTCAGGGGGGCTTTTCAGGGTTCAGGTCCTAACCGTGCCGCTGCGCTGCCTGGAGCCCAGGGCCTGAACAGCTGAACGTGCAGGCAGCAGCAGTCGGGATATCAGGGGTTTTCAACGAAATTCGACAGCCGGCAGAACTCAAAATGGAAAATCACACTCCGAACTCCTAAGCACAATCACCCTCCAAGCACCGATCAACCCCTTCTTCCCAGACCTTCGAGCGAAACTCTCAAGCCGCAATTCCCGAATCCCTTGATGCCATCGCCGTCCTCGGATTCGTGTAGTACAAGAACTTCTGGGAGCCCTTGCGCAAGGACATCATCATCATCATCATCACCGTCATCGCCCACAGAATTGTCATCGTCATTATGCCATCGACGTCGTCGTCATCATCATCTTCTTCGTCGTCATCACCATCTCTGTCACCATCATCATCTTCTTCTACTACTACTACT